ATCATTTCTTAATTATCTATCTACAGATAGAGCATTTTCGAATGCAGCCTAAATACTTATCATCATAAATTGACTATTGGTGAGAATGATATGAAACCTTGAAAAGGCACAACTCCACTGGCCACAAAATTTTTCTTATTCTCTTAATAATATAGATAATAAAACGTTTCACTGACCTTATTAATAATTTTCTTGCCATTATCATCAGTACTTTCTATTTCTTTTTCAGTCAAAAAATAGTCGTCTAAGCTGAGAATACGTGGCGCTGAGCCTGCTTGTTCTAATTCTTTATCCTGAAAGAAAATAGATAATTTATATTAATACGTATTATGATAATAATCTAATCTATATATATATAATTTAGGAAAAAATCTGAAAATGTATTTTTTATATTATAATAATAATTTTCAATAACTAACCTTTATAAGTTTAGCTACGAAAGATTTTCCACTTCCAGGTGGTCCTCGCAAGATGATGGCTATTTTTGGCGGTCTATTCTGACGTCCAGGTGGGAAGAGTAGGTCATCAATAATAGTGAGATTTGATGTTTTCGCCAATTCCATTGTCCTTGGCGGGGACTTGGGTTCGATATTGGTAACATCTTGACTGTAACAAAATCAACAACTTATTGTTAGAGATAATTCTCATATTTAATCCTTGGCTTACAAAAAAAAAAAATTTGCTAAGCATTATTGCCTTAAAATATACAAAAGTTATAAAATTGCACTGAGATATCAGGCGCAATATAAACGCAACGTCTAACGAAAATATTTATCGTGTAAATATATATAAAAATAAATTATATTAATTTTTATATTTTCAGATTTAATAATAAACAGTTGATTGACTCAAATAGTTCTTAATAATTATCGCATTGTTTGGGGAAGTGTAAACAATTAAGCGGAGATAATAATAATGGACGATAAAGTACGTAAATTCAAATGCAATAGATTAGCGTAATAAACAAATTACACATAGATAATAATGGGCATCGAAAAATAATTATAGGTGTAATATGGTAAAAATGGAAAATTTCAATTAAGTGATTTAAAATAAGTGATGATTTAAAATCGTGCATGGTTTGCATTGGTGATGTAATAATAATAATTATCATTATTAATTACAATAATTAATCCCTTTTGATAAATTGCCTTTAAATGTCTATAAATCATTGAATATGTTTATGAGTTTTTAGAAGCACATTTTTATTTTTATAACTATATTATTATTACTATATTTATTCATATAAGTGATACGGAAATTGCGCGCATTGCGCTGCAATAATTAAAAAATGTGACTAATTCTCACTTTCATTTCCAATGAAAATCATAACACTAATACCGTATTTACTAAAATGGTAACACTAATATTATTTTTTAATAAACAAACCTTGAAATTTCATTATTTGTTTTTCAAAAAAAAATTTTTATCAAAAATTAATTATTCAGATCTGTTAAAATATCTGATGTACTAAGTAAATTTATATCGATTACAACGTTATAGAGGATAGACTTGCATAGCAACAGAATTTGAGCTTGGAATATATTTCTTTTATACCGACCAAATGTTAGGAGGTAATTAAACAATAATTGTCGCTTATAAAGATCAATATAAATCATTTTTACATAATAAATTTTCTCGTAAAAATAGTAAAACAGTATCACAACTGTAAAAATATTCCTAACCGAAAATGATTTAAAAAAAAAATTTCACTCAATAAAAGTTACAAAAATTACTTGATGTTAAAATTAAACATCATTGTGTAATTAATATTGATATGAAAATTATTCTATGATAATCAATCACATAAATAATCATACCTGGAATCCTGATTAGATGCGTCGGCGATATTGTTCAACGAATTCTCCTGTCGGCTTACATTCCCTTTAGATCTATTAACATCGACACACACATTCATTCATCCATATATCACATTAAAAAATATATTTCTTATTTCCAGAATAAAAAATAAAAAAATATTCTTTGTTAAATTTTTGTGTTATAAAACTCGAAATTTTTAAGCTTTATGGTAAGATAAACAACTCCGCAAAAGGCTTAGCTGTTTCTTTTACCAATAAAAATTCAAATAACAAGAATTTAAAACACAAAATTTACAATAAGAAATATAAATAAATAAAATTAGTTTCTATGATTTTACCTTTCTTCGTCTTTTTTTATTTCAGTATTAGAGTCCTTTTGATTTCGATTTAACTTTTCACGGGCTTTTTCTGCTGATACGTAAAAAAAAAAGATAATTAAAATTATAAGTTTATAAAAAAAAAATTAATATTAGACATTGCTCATCAATTGAATTAGATATTAAATTACCTTCACTAGCATTTTTACGTGCAGTTTCTTCACTGAGTTTTTCAATTTCAATTTCCCAAGATGGCTGACGTTCTTTTTTATCCCGAGTTTCTTTATGATCCTTAGAATCTTTATTATCCTTGTAGTCTTTAGAATCTTTCGAATATCCAGAATGATGTCCAGAGGAGAATGAGTCTCTTTTTCCTCTGTCACTTCGTTTTTCATCTCGGTTATTTCTTCGTCTGTCTTCACGACTTTCTCCTCGTCGATCTTCCCAATTGTCTACTCGCTTGTCGTCACGATGGTCTTTTCCGCGATTGTCTCTGTCCCGTTCTCGATCTCTATCTCTGTCTCTATCTCTACGATTGTCTTCCCTGTCCCATGATGAATAATGATCACTGAATCGTTTGCGCTCTTCGCGCTTCCAAACAGGACTGGGTTCTCTTCTATTTCGTTTATTAGCCATTTTACTTCTAATAAGACGATTTTTGTAGGCTGAGAAACTATCATTATACTCCTTCAAATTGTGTTCATTTTCTTGCCAGTATTGAAATTCCAACCTAGGATAAATTTCATGATCGGGGACTACAGGTTTCAATCTACCGTGAGAGTAATCGAAGCAATGCACTGGTGTGACGTAGTCTTGATTAGAAGGACGACGAATATGTCCATAGTCTGTTACTTTTGATGGCTTGTATTCCTTGAACACTTCATTAGGAGCACCATCACCATGGTTATAATTAAATTGTTTTTCAATACAGAACGACGGATGCATCGGTCCATCACGTCTGACACCAGGTTGATTTCCCATGCGTCGAGAAAAAGAATTATCCATATCCATTGGAGGTTTATTGAAGCCCGGCTGCATATCATTTGAACCACCCTGCATAGGTCCAAACGAAGATGAAAAAGGTCCTGGTCCAGGTCCTGAGCTGGGACCAGGTCCTAGTAATGATACAGAATTATTGTCACGAGGAAGAAAATCTTTCATCGGGAAATTTTGTCGCATTGGTAAATCTCTATCAGGACCTAATTGTGACCCTGGTCCAGGTCCCGATATAGAATTCGGCCCGAACGGTCGATCAAATGGTCGATTGGAGTCCAGAGGATGACTGTCTTTGATATCATCGCGAGTTTCTTTTAGCATGCCTATCGGTGGATCGAATTTCACGGATAAAAGTGATGGAATTTTAGGTGGATCATCAGCAGCTTGATTGGGACCAAAGGTTTTTTCATTGAGTCCGCGAAGCGGCGCAGGTTTTTCAGAGCTAGGTGTTATAAATTGAAGATCGCTAAACGTTCGTGAACTGAAGGATGGTCCAGAATTGCCCGGACGAAAATCAGAGTCATCCGGTCCTCGAGGACCTAAAAATGGATCATTAGGATTTCTTGCACTGAAGGGATCATCATTTAACCCTCCAGGACCACCGAGCAATGAACTACCTCTTTGATTATTCATGGATGGCCCAAATGAAGACGAAAATCTATTATCACTTTGATCTCTAGGTCCAAATGGATCAGGTCCTTTAGGACCAAACAAATCGAGATTTCGGAAACTACTCCCTTCAGAACCTCTAGAATCGAGTGATTCAGTTCTTCTTTGTTCGAAAGGAGCAGGACCTCTTGGTCCAAACATATCAGATCCGAACCTTGATCCGAATGAATCAGGTCCTCTTGGACCAAATGAATCAGGTCCTCTTGGCCCGAAAGAATCGGGTCCTCTTGGCCCGAATGGACCAGGTCCACTAGACCCAAATGAATCAAATCCAGTCTTCGGTCCGAATGAATCAAATCCTCTTGGTCCAAATGAATCAGGTCCTCTTGGTCCAAATGAATCATTTTCCCTTGGTCCAAACATGTCAGATCCTCTTGGACCGAATGAATCGGGTCCCTTTGGTCCAAAAGAATCGTTTCCTCTGGGTCCAAATGAATCATTTCCTCTAGGTCCAAATGAATCATTTCCTCTAGGTCCAAATGAATCGTTTCCTCTGGGTCCAAATGAATCATTTCCTCTAGGTCCAAATGAATCATTTCCTCTGGGTCCAAAAGAATCATTTCCTCTAGGTCCAAATAAATCATTTCCTCTAGGTCCAAATGAATCATTTCCTCTTGGTCCAAATGAATCATTTCCTTTAGGTCCAAATGAATCAGATCCTCTAGGTCCGAATGAATCTTTTTCTCTTGGTCCAAATGAATCATTTCCTTTAGGTCCAAATGAATCAGATCCTCTCGGACCAAACGAATCAGATCCTCTAGGTCCAAAAGGTTCTGGTCCTTTTTGTTCAAATGAGTCAGTTTCTTGCCGTCCAAATGGAGCGGGTCCCTTGAGTCCGAACGGATCGGGTCGTTTAAAACCAAATGAATCAGAGCCTTGCGGTCCGAATCCATCAGGCCCTCTAGGTCCAAATCGATCGGAATTTCTAGGACCAAATGAATCAGATCTCTTAGAGTCAAAAGTATTAGGTTTTCTAGACCCTTTTGGTCCGAATGAATCTGAATTTTTAGATTCAAATGAATTAGGTTCATTACCACTGAAAGGACGAGATTCAAATTCTCTTTTTTCAAAAGGTTTGTCGCTAGAATTAGAATTAAAGTCTCGTCCTTGCTCTTTTGTTTCAAATGGTCTATCAACTGGACCTAAATTTGGTAATTCAGGAGGTGGTTCCATATTAAGATCTTCAGGTTTTGGATCATTCTCACCCATAAACGGTAAAACGTCCAACTTTTTTTCAGGTTCCACAATTCTAGCAGCTTGATTTTTATCGACTTCAGTTTTTGTTTCAGAATTGTTTGCTTCGTTAGATTTTTCGGGAACTGAAAAAGATTCTACTGTACCATGGTCTTTATCATCAGACCGATTTTGTATCATTTGAGAATCCATCCACGGTGGGATATCCATAGGCGGAAGATTTGATGGAGATATAACTGGCTCGCTTTTATTTTCTTTTTCATTAACTGCAGACAGTTGTTTTTCCTCTGAGGGCGTCTGGTTCTCTTTCATTGTAGATTGATCCTCCGTCATTGTTGAGTATCCTTTTTTCATCATTGAATGGTCTTCAGGCTGAGGAGAACGTCGTTCTATGAGAGGGGGGCGATCTCCCATCAATGATGGACGTTCTCCCATCAATGGTGGACGTTCTCCCATCAATGGTGGATGTTCTCCGATCAATGGTGGACGTTCTCCCATTAATGGTGGACGTTCTCCCATCAATGGTGGACGTTCTCCCATTAATGATTGACGTTCTTCCATTCCTTGTTGACGTCCTTCCATTCCTTGTTGACGTCCTTCCATCCCTTGTTGGCGTCCTTCCATCCCTTGTTGGCGTCCTTCCATCCCTTGTTGGCGTCCTTCCATCCCTTGCTGAGGTCCTTCTATCCCTTGCTGACGTCCTTCCATTCCTTGCTGACGTCCTTCCATCCCTTGTTGACGTCCTTCCATCAAAGGTGATGGTTTCATGAAATCATTTTGGCGTGCATCATCTCTAGGAGGAGTTTTCGATCGATTCATCATGCTACCAAAACCACGATCCTTACCGAAATCGGAGTCGGAGCCTCTTGGGCCAAAATCTCTACCACGAGGACCAAAATCGTTAGATCCACGAGGTCCTGTATTGTCAAAACGATTATTAAAGTCATCAGAACCACGTTGGTTGAAATCAGATCCTCGAGAGCGAAAATCATCCCGAAATCTATTATCGGAGTCATTGTTAGAAACAAAAGATCCTGAACCCTTGTTAAAACTGTCCGAAAAAGATCCTTTATTGTTGTCAGAAAATGAATTTCTACCAAAGTCGCTAGAACGATTCCTTGGCAAAAATGGTGAATCACCAGTTATTTTTTTGAAACTTTCACTCAAAGAACCAAAGTTTGTATCAGATTTATCAGCTCCTAAAAAGGTTCCTGATGGTTTAAATATATCCATCGCAACACGTCGTTTTTCCATTAATTTTTTAAGCTCTGGTGACATTTCAGGAGTTTGGTCAAATCGACTATTTCTACCTTGATTACGATTATTCGAATTGCCAAAGTTGTCTCTTCGATCCGATCCTGAATTAAATCTGTCAGAACCAAACCGATCATCATTGAATTGGTTGTTTCCAAAACGATCCTCCGAATCCATCTGTTCCCGGTTATTTGAACCTGACCCGCGGTCAGAACTGGAATTGAATGAGTCTCTATTAGCTCCTCCAAATCGATTGTTATCTCTTGAATTTCCATCATCTCTCGAAAATCTATCATCACCAAAGTTCCTATCATTGGATCGATCCTTAGATCCAAAAGAGTCACCTGAACGATAATCATTTGATCGATTGTCAAATCCAAAGTCCCGACCTGATTGTCCATCGCGTCGAAACCGGTCACCTGAAAAATTACTGCGGTCATCTTGATTGAATCGGTTCGGGCCACTGTCGCGATTAAATGAATCGTTAGATCGAAATTGACCCATACTGTCCTGGCCTTGACGGTTATTAGAATCATTAGAGCCAAAACGATCATTGTATGACTGATTGTTATTGTTATTGTTGCTGTTATTATTATTATTATTATTATTATTATTTTTGTTATTGTTATTATACTGATCATTTCTAAATGGTGCATTTGAGTTGTCATCAGGCTTAAACGGCGCATTTTGATTTCCCGATGATCCTCCAGAAGATGGTTGAGAAAAATTGTTAGATGGAAATCCTGGTGGTGGTTGAGAAAAGTTGCCCAGCGGATTAGGCGGTGGAGCCATTGGTTGATAACCCAATGAACTTGGAGCCACTAACGGAGCTGGTGGTGGAATCACAGGTGGTGGATAGCTTGTGTAAGATGGAACAGTCATAGCAGCCATGCTATATTGAGCCCATTGTTGAGCAGCCCAAGCTTGTTGACTAGCTTCAGGTGTCATCGTAGTGGACATTACCGGTATTGTTGGCTGTACTGGTGCTTGAACAGGTAAGCTTGCCGTAACAGAAGCTGAAGCTGGTTGGCTAGTTGACACTGACGATGCTTCTTTACCAGACAAACCTAGTGTTTTTCCAATTCCTAATAAATTATTTATCAATCCTTGATTTTCGGTATTCGATAGTATATTGAGTAATTTATCACCACCGGGTAAGGTCTTTTTCTTTTCAGCTTCAACTTTAGCTTTCTGCGCTTCCCGTTTTTTTCTCATTTGTTCCCGACGTTCAATCAATTTTTCTCGCCATGATGTCCATTTTGCTTCATACTGCTTGTACTGTGCCTAAAATAAAATATCGGGCTTATTATAATTATATAATTAGTTGGAACAACTTTTGATAAACGTGTATCAAAAAAAAAAAAATTACTATTGATTCATCAATTACACATGAATAATCTAAAAAACACGACGTTAAAAAAAAGATTTTATACACCAGTATCTGTTGAATATGTTAAAGAAAAATGAATAACTTACCTTGTCTGGATGATCAGCATTTTGTAGTTTCCACTTATTAAATTGTTCTTCCCATTGTTTGAATTGCGCGTCAAATGTTCTTTCAGCATCAGTAAGTTCATCGTCTTCACTTTTAGTTTTTTTAGCACTACTAGTATTAAGATGATCATTAGCACTTCGTTTAATACCGGTTAAATCATTATCAGACGGCGGAGGATTTTCAGGGGGTGGTGGTGGTTGCCCAGGTGGCAAGGGAGGATTTACGTTTGGTTTAAACGCAAATGGAAAGTTATTTTGGGTAGGCGGGGGCATACCAAGATTTTGGTTCATGTTTTCAGGTGGTAAAGGTGGTTTTGTTGAAAAGTCTTCTTTAGGAAGTGGAGGAGGTTGAAGTCCTGAAGTCATACTAGACATCTGTTTCATTGATTCTTGATACTGAAAAATATAATTATTTAGTAACATTTAATATTGTTTTCATTTACAATCCATGAAAGTAGATTTTATGCCGCCAGGGTAATTTTTAATCACATGTTAATTATTTGTTCATATTTTAGAATTGTTTATAAATTTTATTTTTTATTTTTGAGGTATCCAATTTTAATCTGACGGCCTAAAGTTACTCCAATAGACTGTATCTTTAAAAATGAATCAAATATCTTGTATTCAATAATTCCAATCATTAAATTAAATTAAATATAAAAATCAACGATTAACATTAATGATTTTAATTTTTATTACGATACAAACGTAATATTTTTTTTTTATTTTAAAATTATATTTCTCAAATTAAAAAAATACGTCCTATACCTTTGCACCATATTGTGCTTGCCATTGCTGATATTGTTGTTGCCATTGTTGCCATTGAGCCCAATTTTGCTGCTGAGCTGCAGCCCATTGTTCAGTAGTATATCCACTGGGTGCCTGTTATTAATTTATATAATATTTATTAAATTATCTTTTGATATTAAAAATAAAAAAAGTGATGAAAAACTTTTTATTAAAAGTCTTTGTCACTTGATATTATTTATTACTTAATTATCATCAATTATAATATCAAAATGAAAAATACTTACTGGTTGATTATAATATTGCATATAAGCTTGCATTGTCGCCATGGGATCAGTGCCAGTAGCAGGATAACCTGGAGCCGCTGGTGGTTGTGGCATCGGTCCAGCAGCTGTACCAGCCGGCGGAACTTGCCATTGACCCCAATTTTGCATTGTTTATTTTCTTTGTTTACTTATTTGTTTACTGAATATTCCGAATTCTCAGTACTCTAGCTCATGCGATTTTTGTTCTTGATTTTAGACTTAGCTAGAGCATGTTGAGGACGTTTTTAGGGGATGCGTTGTCCAATAGGACGCTATTTTAGGTGTGGAGAAAATTCTTATTACAAATACTCCAGAGTACGCAACAACAAACGTCATAATATTAAGTTATATTACACTATACTATTTTAAATATATATAAGAATAAATGCATCAAGAATATCTACGAAAAAGTAGAAATGGGTTGTTGTTATTATTATTATAGTACATTAGTTTAAATTATTTATTTTTTTGGAAACATATTTTCTATCAATATTAAATATTAATTATCTTAAAAAATATCCTGACTCCAGAGAAAAATCAAAAGAAAAGCCACAATCCATAAGAATACATTTACAACTCTATCATAAGTGACTTAACAGAACGTAATAATACATTCAATTATAGCATGTATATCCAAGAAACTTGCTCAATAAAATAGCGCATTAACCAATCTGCCATAAAAGACCACTAAAATTAAAACTTTACTGAATCAAAGTCTTCTATACCATAGCTGTCAAATAAATTCTTGCTCTAATATAATATTTAGGTAAATATCTACAATTAGAGTCAACGATTTTTATTTTCATTTTTTTGAATAAAATTTCTATTTGATTTTATTGATATATTTTTTTTTTGAAAAATACATAAAAAAATGAATTTAAAAAAAAGTTGATTATCACAATTTTAACAAATTTTTAAAAAAATTGTGATGTTTAACTTTTTTTTTTTAAATTCTTCGTTTGTTTATTTACTCAAAAAAAAAAAAATATATCAAAAACATTAAAAATAGAAATTTTATCTAAAAACATGAGCCAAAATTTTTTCCAATTTTTGAAAGCAAAAAAACTATCGAAATCTTTATTTTTTCCTTTCACGACATTTGTTATCATAAATCCACCGTAAAAACAAGCAGAATAATAAAAAATTAAAAAATGTTAATTTTTCACCTAGATAAGGCCCAAAATAGAGTTGACTCCACTTATAAATAACTACCGATATTTACCATTATTTATACTTTATCATCATAAAATTATTAATTAGCCTTATATTAACACTTCGACTATAAACATAATTTCAAAATGATTCTAAAAAAATACTATGCTTAATTAATTATGAATAAGATGATTGCAATAAAAATTAAAAACTTTTACAAGAAAAATTATTTTATCAATAATTTTAAACTTTCGACTATGAAAATTTAAACTAAAAATGTTGATGTTAATAACTTAATCTACGGTAAATAATTTATTGAGAAAAATATCTTTGGTAGGTATGTTTTGACAGACTATGTTTAAATAGAGCTTTATTTTAGATAGCTTATGGAAAATTTTTAAGTGCGCCAATCACATATTTACCATTGTTTCATTTTCTTTTATCACAATAAAAATACAGGCGGACAAAAAATTTTCAATAACAATTACTATCATTCAAAACTTTCATTAACAGAACAGAGTGGTTGATAAAACAGCTTCTTTCATTACAATTCCTTGTTTAATTTTCTATCTTGTTCAACCACTCTCACTGATATCGAGTAATTTTGAATGGTAGTCTTTGTTTTTGGCACTAATTTTTTTGGCAATAATTTCGTTGCAGTAGAACATGTTTGAATAATGACAAATTGTTATTGAAGAATTTCTCAGGTAGATATACTGCAACAAACTTAAATTGAATGAATTATTATTATTCAGTAGTAATTTCTGGCAGAGTTGTAAATCCTTGTCGATAAATGATGATCTACGAAAATTAATTTATGGATTAATTTAAAAAAAATAATTATTTTTTAAATAATGCTGCAAATTGCCCTTTGTTAACAAAAGGAACGCGCACTAATATTTTCTAATTTATTGCATTATTAATCATTATTGTTATTATTATTATTATTATTATTATTATTATTATTATTATAAACATTATTGAGTAAGTACCACAGCAACTGCAAAATAGCTAAACTCTTTGAAACAAATAAAATAAAATAAATGAGACAGCTATCGAGTAGTTTATTTTGGCCAATGCTACTAGCATGAATAAAAATAATTTATGTTCTATTTTCAGCATTAATATTGAAAAATTCAATTACATAATGAGTTATTAATAAAATAATTAATCTTTCTCAATATGTATTTACTAAAAATTTCTTCGCAATCTTATAAACAAATAAATTTTCCGTAAATAATTAATAAATAATATTACATAGTTAAATAGCTGTCTAATACTAATTAAAATTTTATAATTACAGTTTAAATGTAGACGGAGGTTCTCGTACTCAAAGTAATTGATAGCCAAAAAAATAGCAATAAAATTTTATCTTTTAAAATTTTTTTTTTTAAATACTTAAATAAATAATATGATTGTAAGGATAAAAATTCACTGCAGTGATTACTGATTATTTATTTATAAAAATGAAAAATAAAATAACCCATTATTGAGATAAGGATATTTTTATAGAATAAAGTTGGTTAAAAATGAATGCATCCATAGTTTTTATCGATTTGTTGGATATAGAGCATTACACTACTGGTGGCTTTGCTGAATAAATGTGCCACCATTATTGGTTGGGGTTCACGCCGTTCAGTCAAAAAATCAGATGCCAAATATACAAGTAGAATTATTATTGTTGATATTTATTAAATATTTATTTCATTTGATACTCACATCAATTTCTATAACTATCTTCGATGGAGAGTTTATTACACTTTTTAACCGGATTTATTTCGTGCGGTACACCGTAAACATCAAGAAACGAACGAGCACTAACACCACTAACACTCTCTTCTTCTTTTATTTCATTTTCCGTATTTTCCCATCATTATCTCCATTTCGCTGCTGCAGTCTGGAGTTTACGATGGTAGTTGAAACAATGCTGACAACTGAAATTCAGTGGGTTGCGGTCAACCAGTGTCAGATTGACAACATTCCGAATAATTATAACTCTAGAAAATTATTAATTCCGCTACATTCAAAGTTTACAAAAGTTTGGAAAATCCAAAAGTGCACGCCTTATAATCTCATTTTTTTTTTTAAATAAAATTGATTAAAATAAAATATAGAAAGCAAAATAATAAAAAACAGAACACACTGCTATGGTTTAGTGGCGCCATAACTGCAAAGTCAGGAAAAAAAAAATACTATAATAAAATGTATAGATTGAAATTCAAAAAAATCCACATTCATATATTAGGTTTTTATAAATTATAATTTAACGACAGTGAATTGAACGCTTATATTAACTACGAAATTCTGTCGTGTGTCACTTTAAATAATTAAAAGAAAATTATTCCGGTACGATTATTTTTTCGACCAATTTCCCTGCCACATACTTATGTTAAACAAACAAATTGTTATTGAAATATATTTTATGTGCCTGAAAAATTATTTGACTTGACATAAGTGTACTCATTTTAACCTGTAAGTGCGATATAAATAACAAAAAATCAATTTCAGTTTCGAGAAAACTGCTTTTTTCGAAATGTTGAGAGTAGAGCACAACCTTAACGCTCCGCTTATGAGGCGTGCAAAATACATTAGCTTAAATAGAATACCAGCCGAAAAACAATTTTGTAAATTATGTATAAAACACCGGGTTATCGAATATATAAGTAAATATAAATCTTATATTCTTCTTCTTATTAGTTAAAATTAATTTGATTTCGAAAAAGGTTCGTTTCGACGTCTATTTATCCGAATATCCATCTATAATGATGATCTAATAATGATTCGGCCGAAAATTACTCATCCAAAAAATTGAAAATTTTTTTTAGATGGCCCACCTTTACAAACATGAAATTTGAGTGTTTTCCATACATGCTTGTAAATTAAAATTAAATTAATTAAATTAATTAAAAAAAATTTCTAATCTAAATATAAAATTATTTACATTTTTCAGCTAAATGAGTATTCGTCTGTTGATTCATTTTGGCGTACAAATTTTCGTTGTTATGTTTTTTAATTTATTGAGACTTTGTGACTTTCAAAGATTCTATTAATATAGCTTTAGTTTTTTCTTTATTTACGATTATATTTTTCGGAATTTTAAAATTTGTAAAATTAATTATTTTAAATTACATTCAATATATTTACTTTCTAAGTTCTAGTAATTCATTAATTTGGAATGTTGTCAGTCTGACCAATTCAGTGTACCCAGTTGATAATAATGTTGCTGATGGTAACAAACAGAATTTCAGAATTTTAAAACCGTAACCTAGTCAAAATGATCAAAATGATGAAATGTTGTGAAATGTAAATAAAAAAAAAAAAATAAACAATTTTAAATAAATAAATTTAACATGGTCAAATTAAATTGTATGTTAAAAATTGACAATTAAATTTATACTTAATTTTGATATAAGAAACTGTTTTTAATTACCGCAAAATAAAAATTTAATCATGTTGATGAGATTTATAAATAGTGTATGCAGAAAATATCCAAATAGACAATTTTTTACAAATACTGTAAAATTTGCAATAAGAGAACCTACAGAGGAAGAAATATTACGTCGAAATAAATTAAAAACATCACATTATCTCACTGCACTTGGTGTGGTTTCAGTTGGTCTAGCTTATGCCGCAGTACCACTATACAGAGTTTTTTGTCAGGTGAAATTTTATACTTTTATTGTTGATATCTTACTACAGTTAATTTCATAAAATTAATATGTTTTTAGGCAACAAGTTATGGAGGAACTGTAGGACACGATGCATCGATGGTTGACTCAATGAAGCCCGTTAGGGATAGAGAAATCCGGGTAGTATTTACAGCTGACACCGCAGCAGCTATGACATGGAACTTCAAACCTCAGCAAAAAGAAATAAAAGTTGTACCAGGTGAAACAGCACTTGCATTTTATACAGCTACTAATCCGACTGATAAGCCAATTGTCGGTATTTCTACGTACAACGTTGTTCCGTTTGAAGCAGGACAATATTTCAATAAAATCCAATGTTTTTGTTTTGAAGAACAACAACTGAATCCTCATGAACAGGTTAATAATTATCTTTATTTATTATTTTATAACATTCATATTTTTTAATTCTACTTTCTAATATTAATGAAAACTATGTTATGTTAAAGGTTGACATGCCAGTATTTTTTTATATCGACCCAGAGTTTGCTGAAAATCCACTGATGGAAAATTTGAGTGATATTACATTGTCGTACACATTTTTTGAAGCTAAAAAAGGATTTAAATTACCAATACCAAGTTATGTAAAGCCACATACGACGCCGTCATCATGAAGATTGTAGTTATAGCGGTTTGGATTCAAATGTACAAATGATATAATATTACTAATAAATTGTAATATAATAATAGTTAAATTATTAAGTACAGGTGATTGCCTACGTATCTTGACTTAATCTAAGTATTTTAAGGGGCACAACTAGTGTGAAAGCCTAAAAAAAAGGCGATTTTTGGGAATTAAAATAAAAAAAAACTCCTGTATGAATTGTTTAAAAATTTTGAGGGTATATTAATACATATTTTAAGGATATACAGTAAATTTTTTGAAGAAAAAAATTAAATATTTTCAGAGTTATGCGCGATCTCCGACGGTGCTACAAAAAAAAAGATCCTGCACTGCTGCAGTGATTCCGACTTTCTCCATAACTAGAAGATATTGTCCGTACAATGACCCTCGGTCGAAAAAAAATATCAAAAATTGACAAAATGGCGGCGTTTTTAAAAAAAAAAGTTGAATTTTACCCAAAATTTTGGTCGTTTTTGGCCTGCCAAAATTCGATTTTTGATCAGATCACAAAACTGGATGATCATGCAGAAAAAAATTTGGTAGTGATCGAATCGTTTGTCTTCAAGTAATCACTGCAGCAAATTCGAAAAATGCTGTTTCGAAAAAAACGTGTTTAAAGATAAAATGATCCTTTTCTAACTGCCGAGCGGCTACTCTTTAAATGGCAGTAACTCAAAAACTATTTGAGATATCGATTAAAAATTTTAGTATGTTATTTGTAAAGGTATAACCTATCGAAATATGAAACAAAAATTCGATTTGTTGAAAATTTCACACTAGTTGTGCCCCTCAATCGAATTAATTCAACTATTCTTTGGTACATGTAGCAATTAAAATCTAAAGAGAGCGTTAACTGGGTATGCACGCCGTAAGCCACATACTTTTTCTTTATCAATATACATCGCGTCTATCTTTAATGCTAGATCATGCTCCAATGAATTTCTTGTTCGTAATAATCGTTGATGTTGACATTCTATTTCCTTTAACATCCTGTGCATTTTGTCAACTTCTCGATTTACATTTTCAATTTCTTTCTGCAAGCTGTAATAGATTTTTCATATTATATACAAATATTTTATATTTTAATTAAGTAATTCAATTTACAAACCTAACGTGAGCATAATCACGACATAACTCCAATTCTGGTCTATGCATTCGTGCTTCTAAACGAGTATGAGCTACTTTAAGAGCATAACTCTTGTCAGCAATTGCTTTTCGCAGTACTTCCATATTTTTTTCAACATCAAATATTTCTTGTTGAACCTGAAAAATTATTCATTATTTTGTTATTAATTATTATCATATGAAAAATTATTAGTCATAAAATACTTTGTGAAGATGTTGTTGTAGTTGACTTTTAGCTTCCAGCATTTCAGAGCTTCGACGAGCCAAGGCATTATTGGAGTAAGTCCATGATTCCCACATTTCTCTGGATACACGATTGACTAATGATTCTGCTTCAGCGCGCAATTGGACTGATTTAGCTCGTTCAGTTTGTGACTTTTGAACTATTCTATTAGCTGCATCTGCCCAAGTTTCTTGTTCTGAAACGCTAAAAAATTTTTTAATTATTAAAGTCTTGATTTTGATACGACAATTTTTATAAAATTCCATTTACCATGGGTCATATTTTTCAATACCCGAATAATATTGTATACCATGACTGTAATTATTTAATTGATGGCAAAGTGTATCAATTCCTAATGCGCTCTCTTTATTTTTCATATCTAATTGTAGCTGATTCTGAGAAGCTCGACAGTTTCGTAACTAAACAAAAAAAAAAACATACATAGTATTTTTTTATTATTATAATACATTAGTCTATAATTTTATTTATTTTTTAATACTTACCTGATCTTTGACTCTATCAAGACACGCTTCTAATTTTTTTTGACTTGATCGAAGGTTTGATAATTCAGAAAGAAGACATTTTTCTGAATCATCGTGTACAAGTTCAGTTCCTAAAATAAAAAAAGCAAGAGAATTAAAAAAAAAATTGTCGTAATTTATATTCCAAGCTAATTATGCCGTTACAAGCCTTTTCTAGCTTCACGATGATAAAGACACTCTTCAGCAATGTGTAGCGGTCCTTCGATATCCTGAACAGCTTTTTCTAACACAGCCCGACAATCTTGAAGTCTTTCGCACTCTTGAATAAGTCTTTCTAATTCAGATGCTACTTCATTTCTCCAAAAAGTAACGTCAGTGATTCGTTCGCCTAATCTGCGATCGGAATCATGTTGGAAGTTTTGAATTTTTTCTTCTGCAGCTCTAAAAAAATTTATTAATTATTTATTTGTCGTACAAAATATTAATTGATTCATTAATTACGATTATTAAAACAGCTTAATGGGAACTAAATAAATAATTACCGCATAATTTTTACAGCGTCATTTCTTATGCGCTCCGAATAGTAAGTATTAGCATCAGCTTCATTATAATACTTTATTTGTTTTTGAAACCACTCATTTGGTGTATAACGAGTATGAAGAGCTGATTGTGATGCATGAACAGGATTTCGTTGAAATCCAGTCACGAGATTTGGAAATTTTAACGGTTCTGTAGACATTTCAGTTACTGGATCCACTGCATAATTCGACACACACTTTGTCGATCTATATAAAAAATAATGACATTAAAGTTAGCAGTCGTTTGACCATTTCTTAATTTTTTTTAATGAATAAATTTGCTCCAAAAAATTATTTCTAAAAAATTGCATTTTTTATTTTCTTAATTTTCTAAATGTCAATTTTTTTCTCATTTTATTTGACATAATTTATTTGTTAAAAAATTCTTAAAGTTATAAAATATCTGTTAAATTAATTTTCATAAAAAATAATAAAATTTTTTATTTATTTTTTTAAAGTTTATTAAAAAATATATTTTTATTTAAATAACACTCAAATTAGCAAACATTTGACCATTTTTTTTTTAAATAAACTAGAAAATTATATTTATAATTTTTTAGAGCTTCTAAAAATTTATTAGTTAAAAAAATTCTAAAAATTGTCAGATGTCTCTCAATTTATGATATTCAATATAATTTAGCAGTTACTAGAAAATTTTTTTTAACAAAAAAGTTTATTCCAAAAAATTATTTTGAAAAAATTGCATTTTTAATTTATGAAAATAAAGTTAGCCGACATTAAAAAATTTTTTTATTGAAAAAATTTCAATTAAAAAATTAAAAAAAAAATTTCACTTGTAAAAAACTCGAAAAACTATAAGTGCAATTTTTTATAAATATCTTTCTAGTTGTAATTTAATTAATAAAAATAAATCAAAAATTTTTAGACGTCTGCTAACTTTATTGTCATTTTTAATTTTTTTAAATTTCTACATGTCAATTTTTTTTTATAATTTTTTTTGCCATAATTTATTTGTTAAAAAAAATTCTAAAAATTATTAAATATATGCTAAATTTATTTTCAGTATAATTTATTTAATTAAAATTACGTAAAAGTATAAGCTAGCAAAAAATAAAAAAATAATCGAACGTTAAACTTACAATGGAACCAACTGAACATTTTCATATCCAATATTCGGGCGCCAAGGCATTAGCGAATGAACTCTCTTGCAATCACTTCCACGAACTGGAATAACAGGCTCCAAACAAGCCATTGATGATCCAACAGTAGCCCAAGGTTGAATAAGCTATAAAAAAATTTTTAAATCAGCAATAATTAATTTGGCTGCTGGACTCTTCTGGACTTCCCTTTTTTTCATGATGAACTCGGTAACAGGAGAACTTGATACTAGAAATTCTGATTGGCATTGTAAATTACTTTTCAAATTAATCTTGTTATAGAACTCATATGTTTATGTCCCTCACGCCGAGACTTTCAGATCAGAGAGTACTATTTTTAGCATTATTATTCTTATATATTAATTTTTTATTATTCTTATGTTAATTAAGTTAAAACTTACATCCAATTCTAAAAAACAAAACAATTTTTCAAGTGGAAATTGATTACATTCCTAAAAATAAATTTAATGTTATTTTAAAAACTTTTTAACTTGCCAGTATTACAACCATAAAGGCCTGCATACTAGAGTCGAAATGAGCTGCTTATTCTCTTGCAGAGAGCGATACTATGCAATGTTCGAAGTATGTTTTACGATAATTTTTATTACTTAAGAATTCGATATGAGTTTTTTTTATCCCAGTTATAGCACGTTAGTTGTTACTTACCCGCTTGGAGTATAAATTTAAATTAATTAAAAACTCAATTTTTTTTTTTACTGAAATTATTTTTATTCCATTAAAAAACAATGAAAAAATTTTTTTCTTCTTGAATATAAAGTCGAAGCTTTATTTTTAAGATATTTGGTCAGTATAATTATTATTTATACTTTTAAATTAACTTGGATAGTCAAGTTGACCGTAAATAAAGAAATTAATTAAAGTTAAAATCATATTAATTCAATTACTATTGACCAAATAAATTTGGATGTAAAAAAAAAATTATAAATCATAGTTTAGTGTTTTTAATAAGTTACGTATTAATTTTACAAGAGCCTCTAGGACACCTTTTTCAGTTATCAACATTGATAGAGTCATAATATTCTTGGCGGTTAGTAAATTTCTTACTGCTTTCATCAATTCATTTTTCTGTTTTTCAGTTAGATCGTTTTTTAAAATTTCAGGAACAGGTTTGAATTGTCCCTCCATCGCAAACGAAGTGCCAAGACCACCAAGTATACTTCCTAAAATATAAATTTTAAGTACGGTAAATTAATTTGTAATTTTTATTAGATAATAAATGAATTAGAATAATATAATTTACCAATTGCAATGCCACGTGGACCAAGAAGAAGACCGCCAACGGCCGCGGCAGTACCAACTACAATTCCAGATTGAAGAGATGATTTAACAGCTACTTTCATTGACTTTATTTCACTTATCTCACATATTACATTCATTAATTTTTTATCATTGTAGAACATCATCTTGAATCCGATTGTTTATAAAATTTATTTTAGCTTAAATGGAAGGTCTTAAATTTTAATCTGAAATTAAAAAATCAGTGTAATTATCTTGACACTAAAGTTAGCAGTTACTTGAACATTATTTAATTTTTTTTAACAAACAAATTTTATAAATTGCATTTTGAATTTTTCAATTGTTAATTTTTTTTTCTTATATTTTTTTTTGTAACAAAATTTCATAAAGCCAAAAGGCTAGACTACAAACTTCAACGTCTAATAAACAACACCATCAGATTCATCTTTAATTTAAGACGAGATGAGCATATCACTCCCTACAGGCACTCATTAAACTGGCTCACGGTTAAATCTAAACGAATGTACTCGTTAGCGTGCTTGATCTACAAGCTTCTGAAATCAGGTGAACCAAAGTTCCTTAGAAGTCTCTTCATTAAAGAATCTACAGATATTAGAAGATCGGAAAGAATTGCTGCTAAACAAATTAATGTGTCTTTTAAAATGCCCAATTTCTCAACTACTACTTTTGAACATTCCCTCGTAGTTTCTGCGATCCGAATTTGGAGGGACTTACCATTTGAAGTCACAAATTCACTTAGCTTAAATTCTTTTAAAATCAGTACTTTTGAATTCTTCATGAAACGTGAACGAGAAAATGAACCTTAATTTTTAATTTCTAACTTTTAAAGAAGAAAATGAATCCTAATTTTCAAACCGTTTATATTCTTTTTCACATTTCTGTTTACATAAGTTTATTGTTCTAGATCATCTCAGATTATCATCTTATATAATTTGTATATTTTGTATCACTGAGTTAAACTGTTAAATTTTTTAAATTTTTAATACTCAATTTTTTATCCTCAAATTTATTTTCTTTGTTTTATTTGTCAAATTTGTATTCCAAATTAAGAAAATAATATTTCATAAAAAATAATCAATTTTTATATCTAATATTTTCTAAACTTTATATCTTCATTAGACTTACGTGTACTTTATTATAACTCTTTTTGTATACTTTTGCCATCTGGCTATACTGCCTTGGCATTGAAATGAAATAATAAATAAATAAATAAATATGATAATTAATTTAGCAGTTATTTAATAATTTTTTTTTTACAAACAAATCATAAAAAAAAATTGACATGTAGAAATTTTAATAAATTAAAAATGCAATTTTTTAAAAATTATTTTTTGGAACAAATTTGTTTAAGAAAATTAAAAAATTGTAAAGTGATAGGGTAAAAGACCCCATTAGTGGCGGGGACCCCATAACTGACACTTTCTTTGATTTTGGTACTTATTCAATTAATAAAATCATTAATTTCAATAATGAATATATTAATGACTTTGAAGTTGACAGACACTAAAAATTTTTTTAGAATTTTATAGCAATTAAATTATTATAAAAAAAAATCGGCTTTTTTTTTTTTTTGGTTTTGAAAAAGGACTTTATTTTATAAATATTCTCTTATACATTTTTTAAGTAATAATATCCTTATAATAACTTATTCGCTAATATAATTTTTAATTTTTGTATTGTCATCATATGATGCTCTTTACAAAATACGGGAACTGAAAGTAGAAGTATTTTCTTAATAATATTAATTAAACTTAACAATTTGAAGTTTTTCAACTATTTAAATAATAAATAATAATATGCTAAGCATTGGTGAAAAATCAAAAATGTGAGAAAAACCAATTGCAACAGTTACTGGCTAAAAAAAAAAAAAAAAAATCGGCCGCGATAGCCGTGCGGATTAATGCGTTAGTCTGTACAGATATCGTGCCGAGAGGCGCGGGTTCGAGCCCCAGCGGTTGTTAGAAAATTGATTTCAACAACAACCGCTGAGGGTCGCTCTCGTAGCCGAACTGTACTGACCAGGTTTTAAGTGGAAGAATAAATAAAATCCCCACCCTCTCCTTGTAAAAACACACTAAGGTCGTATACAAGTAAAAATCATATTTATTTATTTATTTATTTATTATAAAAAAAAATTTAATTAACAAGTTCCACATGTGAAAATTAATAAAAATTATAAGTGAAAATTTTTTGAAGCATTTTTTTATTGGAATTGATTTGTTAAAAAAAATATTTTAAATCGACAGCTGACGGCTAATTTCAGTATCATATATATTATTTATAATCTTTAAGACCTTTAGATCAAAAAAATTTTTTATTTTTTATTCTAAGTAGAACATTTTTTGATTGAAAGAAAAAGTGTCACTAATTTTCATGTAATTATTTAATTGTCAGTAATAGATTATTAGTAATCGCTTAGTTATGTATTTAAGCAATTTATGAGACTAAAATTAGCAGATTAAAAAATTTTTAGGTTACTTTTTACCAAATTAATTATTTGAAAAGATAATTCTTAAAAATTTTGATTAAAACCATAATCTATCATTTCTGAAAAGAAATCCTAAAATTTTCAAACTTTTACTAATTTCAATCACAAATTGATAAATAATAATTACTTATTGAGATATTATTAATGATTTGATGATCGAAAACTTAATAATACTTTAAAACATACCAGTCACTGTCACGAATCCGTTGACAATTGATAACAAAAAACAGTAAGAATATTCATTCTAAGTCTGGACTTCCCCTTTCTTCATGATTATGGAGGGTAGGGGTAAGGAGAACCGTCTCATATGGGGGAAAGTTGAAAAAGTGTCCAGCTGTATTATAGGGGATATACACGCACACATTCATACATGGACACATACACACAAGTCAAACCTCACACACTGTACACCAGTGGAGGCAACTCAACACTACACAAAAATTACCGACTGAGGCCTTCTCCGTACGGTTGACAGTTGAATTATTATTATTTTTACTAATCTAACCATTGAGTATACACTATGGAGGGTACATCAGGTAAGGAGAACCGTCTCATATGGGGGAAAGTTGAAAAAGTGTCCAGTTGTATGCTGAGAATAAAGTTTCCATTACCTACCAGAATAGCGCTGGCGTTCGAGTAGTTTCAATATGAACATAGCTGTTATAAATAGAGTGAAGTTTGCTCAGTTCAAATATTTAAAAATTTTAATGACTCGAGTAGTTAGTAAAATGCTAGTATATAAAACCTCAACTATTTACGTAGTCTAAAAAATGTTTTAGTAAATATGAACAAAATACTGCAGAGAGAAAGCGTAATTTTATTTGTGAATTTTTTAAATAATTATCAGTGATTTTATTATGGTGATAGTTATTAAACGATATAAAATAATGGGAAAAAGTTGTATTGTGAAAAGTTGTCCTAGTGGACGCAAACTAAAAATTACAAAAAATGATCCGTCTCAGCATCTGTCTTTTTTTCAACCTTCTGTACGTTGAGTAATTTACTTTGAATTATTTATTTATTTTACGACACCCTGATTAAAAAATCAAATTTAAAACAATTCAATCTATGCAATGTGTATATTTAAATAGTATTTAACTCGAAAAATTTTTTATTTCAAATTGTTTTTTAATCATTTCAAATGAGATTTATTAATCAGGGTTTAACGCTTCTTTAATGTTCAATCAACACATTTATATTTTAGTATTATATAAATTTATATTCACAGACACCGGCAAGATTAGACAAGTGGCAAAAGTGTTTGGGTATTAAATTAAAAGCCACTAATAATATTTGCCATCTTCATTTTAAAGAATAACATATAAAATTGTACGACAAGTTTATCATTAATGGAGAGGTCAAGATTTTTCCAACAGTGAAAAAAAAGCTAAAACCTGAAGCAGGAATTCCTGGTACAATATAAAGTAATGGTATGTCCTGTAAAGCACAGAAGATTATTATAAATAATGTTATTGGTGTTACAGACCCCTTATGGAATAGTAAAAAAAAAACATTGGGAAGCTTTATTAGAAGAGGAGAAAGAGTAGGGTGCTTTCAACATGAAAAAGAATTATTAATTTTTATGTAGTGATAAGATCTCATTTTTTGGCTAAATCTGAAAATAAACGCTACGAAGCTGCCAAAATTAAGACCAAAGCAAATAGAAAAAATGCCAAACTACTATCATAAGTACACAACTTGTTATTAAAAAAATATGTTTAACTATAACTATTGTTGAAGATCTATTAGTTTATTTATCTAATTTAATAATATATTATATTCGTAGAATTTCTTTTTGAATCCGTTTGTTGATTCATTTTACCTTACAACTTGTTTATGAAATCCCAAAAAATTGGTTATTTTATTTTTGACAAACAAATTTTTAATAATTTAAAGTCATTACGTATTCTATTTGGAGCTCTTTCAAATTGACGGCATGAAAATTTCGGACTTTTTCATAACTAATTAAAAAAAAATATTTTTGGTAACACGTTCGTTAATTATTTAATTGTTTAAAACGATACTTTTCTAATTTTTAATTTATATTGTCTTTATGATTTCATGCATAATTGGAAATTTCAATATGACTTGTGAAAGAACGCGTTAATTTATAATAATATATCATATGAGTATGCTCCGATCATATATTTTGTTTGAAAAGTACACCAAGAGGAAGAGGAAATTGCTCGGTCCTTGTTTATTTCTCTATCTTTTTCTAATTACGTTTGGCGCTTTCTTTAAAATTTATCGACTGCTACTGCAGCGCCACTCTTACTGGACGCGTTTTTACGGACACTCCCTGATAGCTACAGTTTCAGACCAACCAAGTTGGTGTCAGATAGTCGCCACCAACTTACCGACAACTTGCGGTCAACTTCCGAATTTGAAACTGTTGGCGTCAAGTTGGCTACAAGTTTCTGAGAAAAACAAGACCAATCTACTGCCGCAATATGTCGCCAAATTTCTCGAGAAACTTGTCGTCAACTTGGTGCGAAAGAGTTTCGAAAGCAATTTCTGCCGACAACTTGGTGAACAACCGAGTTCATTTCCAAGACTTGCCGCCAACTTGGTGACAAGTTGCTGCAGCAAATCAACGGAAAGTTGCGACCGGTTTGGCTATCAGGGCTTTTTTCGTACACAGAGATGGTCCTCCTTACCTCTATCCCCCATATTCATGATTTTGGCTACATTGGCTTAAACCAACGCCTTGTAATTTTATTATTTTAATTAAAAAAAAAAAAAAAAAAAAAAAAAAAAAAA